AGCATTCAAAGGTAATTTCGGGGGCAACATTGATAAAACACTCTTCCCTTGGACCACTTGAAAGTTGCGGGAATAGCTTATCGTGTAAAACACTCTTGTATGGGCAAGGCTGGGTCCCAGCTCCCCCACGTTTTCCCACCTGGATCTTTCTTATTTGTGGTTGACCCAAAGTAACAACATCAGATTTTCCACGTGCAAAAGGAGACCTTTTATTTTAGAAAATATTCTCTCCATTTCATTCCTCATTCTGCTTAAGCTGATATTGACAATACATCCATTTTGTTAAGAAACAGTGGTAGAAATAATTTCTAGACACCTGTCTTAAGTCAGTGGCTTCGTTTGTCACCATGTCCCCTTGTTAAGTGGCCGGAAGGCTCTCTCTGTGACCGTCTCTCTCTGAGGTCTTACACATCCTGACGTCACTTAGGCATCAAATGGGCTTCTCCTCAAGATGGGCTGTGGCTTTGGGGATATCTTTCTCACTTCTGTCACCGAGCTTCTGGCCCCTTCCCACCCACCTGCTGACGTTTATTCCTGCCTCTAAGAAAAAAGGAACAGAAGGGAACTCAGAGACCACAGCTGCCGTCAGCTCAGAGGAACTATATTTCAGGAGAACGGAAAGCCCCCTACATGCTCATGTCCCACCTTGTAAAGGAGGAAACTGGACTTCCCGGCCAGCATCAGGAGACAAAGGCAGGAAGGCTTACACCACTCAAACCATTTCTCCCTCCCAGCCATGTTTTAAGTCAAGAAAATAGGTCCACAGGACAGGGCAGATGCCTCCAGGATTGAGAAGAAGGCTTACAGATTCTGGGATTCTGGAGACCAGAGTCTAAGGTCCAGGTAGGGTTGCTGAGATCCAGGCGGGGCAGGGCCGCTGAGATCCAGGCGGGGCAGGACCGCTGAGATCCAGGCGGGGCAGGGCTGCTGAGATCCAGGTAGGGCAGGGCCGTGCTCCCTCCAGAGGCTCCAGGGTAGGGTCCTTCCTGCCTCTTCCAGCTTCTGGGGACTCCAGGTGTCCCTGGGCCTGTGGCCACGTCCCTCCCATCTCTGCCTCCATCCTCACATGGCTTCTCCTCTGTGTCCGTGTCTCTCCTCTTCTGTGCCTTATAAGTACACCTGTCATTGGATTTAGGGCCACCTTAATCCAGAATGACATCATCTTTAGCTAATTACAACTGCAAAAACCCTATTTCCAAATAAGGTCCCACTCCAAGGTTCCAGTCGGTTACAAATTTTGGGGAGACACCATTCAACCCTATGCAATATAAAACAATGATTTTGAAGTCATTGGAGTTCATGCAACAGAGGACAGTGACCCCAAGGAATGGGAAGCAGGCAGGCAAGCCCTGTGACTGCTGTAGCTGAAGGCTTGGGGGAGTTTCCAGGCATGGTTGAAGGAGGGGACCCCAGGTGGGGACCAGGCAGAGCCCCTGATTTGAGAACATGGGAGAGAGAACTGATGGCCTAGGAATACAAGGGATTGAGAGACTGTGGGTCAAGGGGGCAGGGAGGGGAGAGCTAAACAAGAAAGAGAACCCAGAAATCCGAGGAGGGGTCCCCACAGTTTTCAGCAGAAATGACAGGGGGTCGGGAAGGCAGAGGGTCTGAGGACAAGCGGGGGAGGCAAAGGTCTGAGGGACAGGAGGGGAATGAGAAGCAAAATGTGTGGATCTGCTGGGAATGCCCGTCGTCTGGAAAGTGAGTTGCCTTCACAGGCAAACATACACATCCCGAGTTGTCCTCCAAGTATTCAGTTTTAATGTGTGTGGTTTATTGGTGCCACTGCACATCATAAAATGTGCCACACAGTGAAACAGAGTTTCAACATAGGAATTGAATGGACCCTCACCATGCATTGCAGGAAGGAGGAATACCCTCCCATTTACCAATGAAGAGACTAAGGTGGGGGGGGGTCCCTCATTGGTGAAGATCTGCACTGTGGGGCTGAGGCTTAACCAGGTGGCCTGAAGCTACATGCATAACACCCTCCCACTGTCGTAATCTCTATTCCCTTCACCTTCCCTCCCAGGTGACTTCTCACCACCACCATCATCATCACCATCTTCATCACCATCATCACCACCATCACCACCATCACCATCACCATCACCACCATCTCCATCCCCACCACTGTCATCACTGATAGATGGATTGTTTAGCAAGTCTGCTTGAAGAACTATCTTATTTTTCTTCTCAGGGGAAGGAGGCCTGAGTCTTCCCCCTAAATTTCTTCTCCCGAATACTTCATCCCGCAGACGGAAGAGGAGGCTATAAAGAGCAGTAGAGAGTGCAGAAATGAGTCATTGATTGGCACAGTGCAGAGACAAAGACAGCCTCCAAGTCTCCACCTGCACATCCAGGGCATGGACGAGCTCCTCAGAGTGAGTGACAGGCACTGACTTTCCAATAACACCAACCATGGTGACTTGCCACCGGGCCCTGGGGGACATCCAGCCCAGTACAACCATCTGACTGGAGCAACAATGTGGAGGAGGGTTGCAGCTGTAGGGGAACACTTTAACCTTTTTTTCTTTAGGAGTTCCTAGAAGACCATGGTGTACCAATCTACTTCCACATTAAATTCTCAGAAAGTGACCTACAACAAAGGCTAAACTTAACCTTTAACAAAAGTTAAAACCTATTGTGTCAGTTAAAAATCCAAGTCCCAGATAGAGAAAGAAGAAGAGAGAAGACATAGTGCATTTTGTTATACTTGCAGAGAGTCCAATTGCCAGCAGCCTAGTATTTCTGTGGCCACTGTGGTTGACCCTGGGCCCCAGTCCCCCTGCTTGGTCTCTATGCTCTCTCCAGGCAGTCCTACAGGACCCTTGTAAGCCACTGCAAGCCATACAAGGTCCCTTCACCCTCCTTCCCCTTCTCCACACCCCGGTTGGAACTCCGAGCAGTTCTAAAAAGGCCAACGCAAAAGCCCTTGAAGAAAAGATGGAACAAAGGGGTCCCAAGAAACATCATGCTGTCACTCCTTCAGACCAATCAATAGTTGTTAAGGTTTTTCTGTGTATGTCATGCTCAGCCAGACATGGTGGCCTTTGTGACAGTGAAGAGGTATCATGTCAGTGGCCTTGAGACCCTCCTCAGGTTCAGTGATTCAGTAGAAGGACTCAACGGAACTCTGCCAAGCTCTTACTCTCATGGCTCTGGTTTAATACAAAAAAAAGGATACAGATGAAAATCAGGAAGACCTAAAGGTGCACGGGGCAGAGTCCAAGAGAGATGAGGCATGAGCTTCCAGGTGTCCTCTCCCCATGGACTTGTGGATGCTGCTTACATCTTCCAGTGACCATATGTGACAACAGGCATGAGACATTACCAACTAGGAACATTCACCAAGCCTTGATGTCCAGGCATTTTCTTGGGGTTAGTCACACAGCATGGAGTGTCCACATGGCTCACCTGAGTTATTCCATCACTGGCTCCTCCAGAGGGGGCTGGCTATGGCATGACCCAAAGCCCCATCCTAAATCACATCGTAGCATAAACCATGTGCCACGGCTCCAGGCAAACAAAGACATTCTTATCAGGCAGGACATTTCAAGGGCTCATAGGTGATGTTCCAGGAGCTGGTCAAGGGCTAGACCTTAGTTTGGAAGGGGCAGCTGTGGACAATCCAGACCTGCTGAGTTAACTTTTAACCATGGAGGTGTGTTGTGAGATTTTTCAAACTTCAGAGACTCAAATGATGTAAGAATCTGGAACATCCCTCCCACCAGGAAAGACACTCAGTGGAACATCCCCCACTGAGTTCTTCAAAGCTCCCTCTTGATTCTACCAAGAAGCCCATTGAACATGGCAAGACTGAACATGGCATCTCCTCCCCCGGCTCCATGCCCTTGGCCAGCTCCTCTTATTTCTCCAATTCAGACGAGGCACCTCCGTTCCTGCACCTTCTCAGCCCTCAAGCTGTGGTGAGAGTGGGTGCCTGCAGTTCCCTCCTCTGGTTCTGTCCTGGCCATTGTGCCTGAACCATGCTGCTCACAGTGGTCTCCCATTTGGTGTTTCTTCTGCTCCTTGGTGTCCAAGACCGCTAATGAGGGAGGGTTCTCTGGTGGTCACATTAACAGTGTCATCGAGAGAGATGCACCTGACCAGAGCTGGCCCATCCCACCCCATGACTGCTGACATGTGACCTTCCCATCCAGCCCCCATCCATGCATCTCTACCCATGACAGGATGTCCCCCACTCCCTGTGATGCTCAGTTGACCATGAGCACCATCATCCCAGTGGGAGTTAGTGTGTCCTCCATGGTCCAGATGAAATGCTGCCCACTCTCCAGCCCACTGTTGTTCATCTCCTCATCCCAAGGCCCCACACTGGGGACATCAAGTACTGTGTTTGTGTCACCAGCCCCCATGGCCCTTCTACTTAGCCTTGTCCTGCCATGAGCTGCAAACCTGCTTCCTACCCACTCCACTAGGTTCTAACCAATAAAGGTGCTCAATAAAGGTCTGATGAGTTCAATGGCATAAAAGTAGCCCCATGCCCAAAGCCAACAAGCTCATAGCATCCTGGGCAGACTCAATGAGCCGTCTATCTGGTTAAACCTTGGGAAGATGAGCTTCTCCACATCGATGCTGAAGGGGAGGAGCTCCTTCAGGAATGGGGAGCCATGGAGGTGTATCCTGCCCAGCTGCCTTTCATTGACTGACATGGCTATTCCATTTCCTGGGCATCTTGTCTCTGTTCTTCATCGGCACCAGTGGCCCATATCTCAACACATCTCCTCTGCGCTTGGCTTTGCTCAGAACCTCCCAGCCAGCCTGAGGGTGCTGTGTGTGGGGGGGGTGTACTTGTGTGTGGGTGTCACACCCTTGATGTGCTCTCTTCTGGGAGCTGAGAAGCTGATGAACTCACCCACCATTCACAGGTTTCTCAAGTGTGTATAATGAGAAAACATCACAGGAAGAGGGAGGGCGCTAAGGAGAAAAGGGAAGTCTAGGGTTGAAATGTCTCGGCAATGCAATCAGTATCCTCACTTTCTGACCAGGCAGAGAGCCGTCCAAGAGAACGGCCAGATGTTGGAGCGCCGGGAAACTGAGAAAAAAAACAGGTGGCCGGAGCAGAGACTGGTGCGGTGGGGTAAGGCCGTTCCCTCCATTCTCTGACCCTCAAATGTGCCCTGTCACTAGGGTACCTATTCCTGCACCTGTTGCTGGTGCTGGCAGCTCAGGCTGCAGGTCAGGGAGCACCTGGGGGTGGGAAATGGGAATCTCCGAATTAAGGCGCCCAACAGGGAGGTGGGGTCACTCCAATAGCATGTGGACACTGCATCGGAAGGTCTGAATTAGCCCCAGAGATTAGCCAACTTGCACTGGGAGCAGGTTGAGCCCCTCGTGCGACTCTGTATGTGAGCATTAGAAGCCACTTTGGAATTACTCCAGAGGCTTGGATGCATGCGGTCATCCACACGGGGAACCACTGGTCCCTGGATCCTGGGGAGGCACTTTGCTGGCAATCACTTATCTTAAATCCCCTGGCTACCAAATGCAGAGCTGCTGGCTAATCTGGGTGACTGGTGTCTTTGGGGACCACAGCATTTCATTCCATGTGTTGCCCGGGCATTGTGACCGATTACGTTCCCCCCGCCCCTTCCAAACTGCAGGAAGCTCAACATCCAAGCTCATCCAAGGGATGCCCACATATGGGCAGCACCTGCGCTGTCCCAGGTCTCTGATTTGACCTAGTCTGACAGATGGAGCCGGCATCTATGTAGACCTTAGGTTTATAAAAAGGGGAAGAAAACTCAGTCTGGAGAAAACCGAAAGAAGAAGGGAAAGTGGGTAGTCAGTGGACAAAAAATACCAAAGTAACGTCTAAGTTTTCAGTCATATGAAACACAAACCCCAGGCAAATCTGCAGAGCAGGAGGGAAGAATGGGGAGTGTCGGCTCCATGGGGATGGGCTCCTCCTTTGGGGGGATGGGAATGTCCCAGCTCAGGTAGAGGTGATGGTTGAACATTCCAGATGTGGTAAAGGCTGCTGAGTTGTACGCTTTCAAGGGGTGAACTTTATGCCATGTGAATTTCACCCCCATTTTTAAAAATCAAGGCAAAAATTAATTAAATGAAGCGTAAGACCTCCCTGGACTTCAGTTTCTCATCCACTTGAATGAGGATCCTGGGAACTGCCTCCTAGGATGAATGTGAGCGAGAAACTAGGAGCCGAGTGGAACGTGCCTGTGTTTGGCACGCCCAGGCGATGGAGAAATCACGGTGCCGATGACTTCACACTGCCTGTGAATTATCCTCCATGGGGTTTGTCACCATCGTTGGCCAAGAGCCCCCACGTTGTGACTGACCATTTAATTAAAACAGCAACCCTTGCTAGATCATCTTCCAACAGTGGGCATGTGGTTTTTTGGTTGTGTTGTTTTTTCTTTTTGTTTTTTAAGTCAGGTTTACAGAAGTTTATGCTTTTGCTCCATCATGATGAGAAGCAAGCGGAGTTCGGTTTAGAGGAAGTGGAATGGGGAACTGTCCAGCTAAGGGCGTATTTCCACGCAGATTCCCTCTGGTGGGGCGGGGGTGGGGGCTGGGGGGGGTGTGCATCCACAGGCACCTGCTTCATGTACAGCCCTAAAGCAGGTACTATGGGAGGCGGCTTGAAAAAGGAGGAGAAAAGCAGATTCCAGAAGCTTACAGGGGTGAATGGAACGAGGACCCTCCCTGCTTCGCTGCATTGCACCACCCCCTCCTAATTAAGGGCAGCTCCGCTCAAAGCCAGGGTGCTCACAGAGATTTCAGACGTGAAAAGCAGGGCTGAGGCAAGGCAGGAATAGCAAAGGGGAACTGTAGAGTCAGCCCACATGAGGAAGGGTCTGCCCTGAGAGGCTCTTGGGTGCAACATGGAGGCCCCCCAACCCAGTGCCAAGAACCCCGGACAAGACCCAGAGAAGGGCTGGGTGGAGCAGGGTCTAGCTTGCAGATGGAGGAAGCTGGGAACTTCCCCCATAGCACTGGAGTACAAGGTGTGTGGGAGGCACGGACGTTGGGACAGATCTGGTCCATGGTTTTTATTTCCTCTTTATAGCAAGGGTGGTGCCTTAGGAGGGAGTGGGCTTGGGGAGGTTGGGAGGCAGGAACCTGAGGCTGGGCGCCGCTCCCCAGGTGCACTCTGGCACAGGTGTGCACACCTGGTTTGGGGAGCTGGCTGAACTCTGCATCACTGGGCTCCAGCCTCAGAAGCTGGGGCAGGGGCAGGGGGGAGAAGGGGCTGTAGCATCTAGACAAGCCAGTTGACCCTCAATAGACAGGCAAGCCATCAGTGCACAGGGTGGGTGGGAAAGGAGGCAGGTGGTGAGGAGATATACGGAATGAAACTCACAGCTCAGAGGTCTGTGGGGGCAGGATCAATGAGGTAAGGGGATCCTTTAGGTCCTACAGAGGGCAAAGGAGCCCCCTGGGTGGGGCTAGACATCAAGGAGAGGAGGAGCCCAAACGTGCTGAACTGGCTGCATGTGGGAGGGAGATGTTGTGTCCTGGTGGGAGCCAGGCTTCAGGGGAGTCTGGCGGTAGAAGAAGAGAGTCCGTGAAGACAGGCACCAACTGAGAGGTGAGGACATGGAGGTCCATGGGGTGGGTGTCGGGGGGTGTGATGGCTGATCTCCAAAAAGCAGACACTGGACAGGATGAAATGGGGAAGGAATTGGTGAGGGAGATGTCTGAGAGGGAGGAGAAAGGGAGGAGAAAGGGGGGAGGGGAGGAGGAGGGAAGGAAGGCGGGAATGAAGGGGGAAAGGAAGGAGGGAAAGAAAGGAAAAAGGAAGGAAGGAAGGAAAGAGGGAAGAAATTTGTGGTCACTTGTTCCGTTGGGCCCCAGGAAGCTACTACACCAAGATAAGAGAGACATTGTTTAGACCGATCGACTCTATAAACCCAAGGAAATGACAGAAAACATGATTGTGCATGGTAAAAGAGTGAGAAAGGAACCTCCAAGAAAAGACAAGGCTTTATAAGGGTGAGGTCACAGGGAACACAAAGAGATGAAGAGCAGCAGAGACAGTACGCGGCCAAGAGGAAGAGAAATACTTAGAGAAGTAAGACCCCATTACGAATCATAACAACAGCCAAAGAGCAAACACCAGTAAAAATACCACCAGGGCAATGGTGGGCAGACCCAAGATGCCACCCCAGACCCAAACAGAGCATCAGGTGTTCTCTGTTGAGTGCAGCTTTATGGGACCAGAGCTTTTGTACTTACGTGTTTAAAAAGTTTGTAATAGACTTTTTTTTTTTAAGAACTGTTTTAGATTTACAGAAAATTTTAAGTGGAAAGTACAGGAGATTCCCATATATGCGCTTCCCGTTTGACCCAGTCTCCACCCTTATTAATATTTGGCATCAGTGGGGCACATCTGTTATCACTGATGGGCCAATATTCATACGTTATTATTGATTAAAGCCCACAGTTTACATTAGCGTTACTCTTGGTGTTGGACAGTCTATGGGCTTGGACAGATGTATAGTGACATATATCCATCATTAGTGATATACAGAGTAGTTTCACTGCCCTAAAAATCCCCTGTGCCCTGCCTGCTCATCTGTCCCTCCCCCAAACCCTGGTGAGTCCTGGGTTTTGTGTTTTTTTGTGTGTGGTTTTTTTTTTTTTTCTGTCTCCATAGTTTTTCCTTTTCCAAAATGTCATAGAGTCTGAATCATACCGGATGTAGCATTTTCAGACTGGCCTCTTCCACTCAGTAAATGTATTTAGACATCCTCTATGTCTCTCTGTGCACTTACCCTTTTCTATTTTCCTCTCTTTTTTTAATATCCTTTTTGATTGCTGCAAAACTCAAGTTTTTTTAAAATAGAGGAAAAAAAAAACTCAAAAAACTGTTATTACTGTAACGAAAACCCGACCTATCATTCCTTTTTCTTCTCCCCCAAAAATCCATTCTAAAAACACTCAGAGCATGTGTCAACTATACTTACATTAAAATTTTTTAAATAAAAATGTAAAAATTTAAATTATTCAGGCAAAAAAAGAGAGTCAGAAGAATGAGAAACTAATCAAAGTGGGTGTAATATTCCCCAAAAGCATCTTAAAACCACTGACACGTGTCAACCATGGCTTCAAGGCTCATCTGAACCATGAGTCAAGCTTGATAGAAGGCAGACAGGTAGGTCTGTAGGGTAGATTCCCGGGGCAGTGGTAATATTTCTCCACGCTGTGTGGTAGATTATTTTGCAAACTGCGTCTCTCTCAGGAAGTTCATCCTGGAGAAAAGAGAAGTCGGCGGTGGGCTCCTGTTTTGTACGTCTTGTGGGCTCTGGAGTAGGTGGACAGCCCAGGCCATTCTCTGCAGGAGGAATTAGAATCCCAGTCTCTGATACCTGAAGGCTTAGCCTGGGGAAGGGCTTGGGGAGCCTGTGCTCCACCCCCAACCCTGGTTAGAGAGGGAGGGATGTGTCCTGGAGGCCCGGTGTGTGGAGCCAGAGCCTGATGCACGGTCCAGCACCTTCAGAACAACCCTGCCTGACCGTCTCCACTGTTCTTTTGTGGACAATATGCCCATCAAGGGACTGCCCATCCTAGACTCGGCCCTAAGACTTAGGGAGTGGATCTTGGTACCTGTAGTGGATAGAATAATATCCCCAGAGACGTCACATCCTGATCCCCATGTGGTGGAGAGAATAATGGCCCCAGAGACATCCCCCCAGGTTACAGACAGGAATAAAGCCGCAGCATGTGGGCAACTTGCCCCAGTGACACAGAGAATGACAAGGTTGGCTGGAGCCCCGTGCCCATGCTGCAGGATAGGCCCTTGGTTCTACCCCACCCCGAGGCTGGCTGTAACCTGGAGACCCTTTGGCAGCCAGCAGTGACCCCCGGCTGGCCAGGTTAGTAGGCTGACCATCTGGCTGGGGATGGTCCTGCACTTGTCCCCAGAGAATCTCCCCAAGAAAACCTCACTGGGCCCCCCTGCCAAGCATCCCCATGAGAGCTGATTTCCTCAAAGTGTGACTGTCTGTTCCTGCAGGTTTTCCTCATCCTTTGGGCAGCCCCATGGGACTCTTGGCCACAGCCGTCGTATTTTGCATGCTGCTGGACCCAGTGTTCCTCCAGACTCTGGAGCAGCAGGGTAAGGGTGTGAACCTGTCTGACCCTTCTCTGCCTGTCTCATTCCTGTGTCCTGTGTATCTGGGGACACATCCTGACGCCTGAGTCCAACTGCATGGGCAGAGATGTTATTGCCCGATTAGGTGAAAATGGAGACCAGGGAACAGAGATGTCAGGCAACGTGCTGGAAGTGACATGGCTGGTGAGAGACAGAGCCGGGAGTCAGACCCACACCTGTCTTTCTAAAGGGGGCTCTGATTTTAAAGTATGGACACCCGTCTTTGCCACCCCAAGAAAGGAGATAGGGGGACAGTGGGAATGGCTCTTTCCCGGTCCTCCACACAGAGGACCTATAGGAATCTTTATTCACTTGCACAAAATCCATACAGTCCAGCCTGGCCCTTCTCCTGTGGGTTTTGCATATGGAACTGATAGACTATCTGCACTCAGGAGCCCCCAGGTCCAGGGATGGGCAGGAGCTAGCTCAGCGCAGGGAGATGTGCTCTGGATGCATCCGTGCCATCAGATTTCTGTTGACCATTGAAGACTCTCTTGGTTGAGTATGAACTCAAGGGCATATGCAGCTCTTGTAGGACCCACAGGCTAAGACCAAGGCCCATAGGACTGTTGGGGACGGATGATCATTGTTGTCTTGTGCGGGGAAAGTAGGAGAAGTCTGCAGGAAGCCAAGGGGGTGCCAGGGAGGGTGGAGGGCCAAGAAACTCAGGAAGTAAGTGACTTATTTTCAGGCCCTGGAGACCTGGAGAGAGGTGGTCCCTGTGCTGGGGGAGGTGTGGTTGGTACCTTAAATAAAGGAGGATGTGGGTGTGAGACACCAAGCACAGAGGCTGTGCGGGCTGAGAAACTCAGTATACAAATGGACAAGGGGCAGAGGGTCCTTAAGAACAGAACTCTGGCCCACAACCTGCAGCTACCTGCCCAGGGGACCAGCCCTCATCTATGAGGACCAGCCCACAGAGCCAGCCTGGTGTCTTCACATCAGATGAGCAAGAAGCCAGATGTCCATCCCCATGACAATCTGAAAAGTTAAACAATCCCATCTGGAACAACGGGCTCCGAATGACCAGGACTCGATCAGTAACCAATGGCTTCCCTACATGTTGACCCCACTTCCTATTTAGGACCAACCAGAGAAACCAGATATGGTCCCCTAACGAATTCCATATGATGCCCTACTTGTAGTGACCCACCTGCATCTTCCCCACACCCACAGCCTCTGCTTAGGGCACAATCAATGTTCCCCTTCATCCACTGTGAAACTTGCCCACTCCCCTGTCTGTCCTTGATCTCTGACAAATACTAGTGATGGTGGCTAATGTCCTCACCACAGCAGGCTCTGAATAAACAGCCTCTGCCTGCTCTGACTTGGTAGGTCTTGCCTTACTTACATGGTAGGCATCTGCACATGGAGAAAAGGCATGGAGGTCCAGGTAGGAAGAAGAGATCGATAAGGGGGAGATTCCATGCATGTGCCAATGCCGTGGGGCCATGTGGGGGGACAGGGGAAGGGGACAGCATGTCCCATTCTTGACCTTTGCTTACAAGACATGGGATGGGTCAGCAGGCAGCAGGTAGAGGCAGAAAAGGGCTAATTTCTGAATCCGGTGGTCCTGTCTTTCAGATCTTCCAACTGTGGAAGGGGTCCCCAGTCTAAATATGAGGTTTGATTCTTGGAGAATGGAACTGAGTTGGGACTGCAAAGAAAACACTACCTACCTCGAATGCGTGATGATTCACAAGGAGAATGGGCCAATCGAAATAACAGTAAGATGGATTTGTTATGGACAATTGCTGTCTTTTACAAAGCTCTCATTACATTAGAAACAAGGCAGCAATAGGTGGAAACAGACAGCATGTGTGTGACCCTGGGGGACACATCTAGGAGCCATGCTTCTGGGTGCACCAGGGAAGCAAGTCCTGGCCCGTGTCCAAGAGGTGCCTGGTGGCCTGATTCCCTGGGGGGCTGAGAAACTCCCTGGAAAATGTCTTTTCCCAAAAGGAAAGGGAGTTCAGGGCTCCCAGGGGAGGAGCCCCAGCCCAAAGCTCCTATGAGGTTAGACCTGGTACAGATTGTAGGGTGGGCTACTTGGGGATGCTCAACCACCCAAGGAAGATGAAATGAGGCAGACTGGTGGGATGGGGGATCCAGGGCAACACAGGTAGATTCCAGTAGGGCACCCAAATGCTCCCAGAATTTCCAGGCATCACTTTCAGGGACCGTAATCAAGGGGAAGACGAATGGCTTATTCTGTGACTTTCAGGCTTCTGTACCCCTTCAAAGGGTGTTGCATAGGGGAACTGCCCCCCTACCACCAGAAACAGCAGCTTCTGCTCAGTTGATCCATCAAAAATCATCCACGTGGCCGACTTAATCCCCAGAAAGAATTAGTTGGTCCCCAGTGTTCCATGAAAACAAAGTTACCAGACTGAACAGATACAATGTAAACATGAAGCCTGTGGGGGGAAAAGGGAGTATGAGATAGGACAAGAAAATGGAATAACATAGAAGAGCGTGTGCTAAGCTCCATAATGCTTAATGTGATGAGACATCTCGCTGCTCAGGGTGGTGGTCCATCAGCATCACCTCAGAGCTTTGTTACAAATGCAGAATCCCCCGCCTAGAACATGCTGAACCAGAACCATTTTGACAAGATCCCTGGTGACTGAGGGCACACTGAAATGGGACCTCTATTCCGACGTCCTAGACGCTGTAAGACTACCCGAGTCAAGGTCCCACCTTCACGTGGGCATGCCGCCAACCACCCAGAGAATGTACATGGGTGGTGGTGGCGTCTTGGGGTCAGTGGAAGAACAAACAACATGGAGAGGAGATGAAAAGAAGAGTTTCCTAATGCACTGGCTGGTTGCATCTTTTTAGCCCCAGGAGAAAGAATGTCACTGCAAGTTTTCGGATTATTCTCTCCATGATGGAGTCACGTTCATGGTTAAAGTAAATAGCACCCAAAGACTGATTCCAGAAACACTGGTCTACAATAACTCAGGTAGGGAAAACCTCACAGTGATCCTTCTGAACATCACTAGCCTCAAGGTAGATCTCTTCCTTTTTTTTTTTCCAGCTTTATTGAGCTATACCTGACACCTAGGTATTATGTATATTTAAGGTATATAGCTTAAAGTTTGATATACATATACGTTGAGAAATAATTACTGCAGTTAAGCTATTAATCCTCCCTTCAGCCCCTGGAAAGCACCATTTACTCTCTGTGTCGATGCATTTGCCACGTGTTGGCTATTGTGAATAATACTGTGATGAACATGGGGGTGCATAAATCTTTTGGGGATCCAGATTTCATTTTCTTTGGAAATATACCCAAAAGTGGGATTGCTGGGCCATATAGGAGTTCTGCTGTAAATATTTAAAGAAACTTCCATAATTTCCACAGTGGCCACACCAACTTACATTCCCAACAGCAGTGCACAAGGGTTCCCTTCTATTTGCATCTTTGCCAGTATTTATCTCTGCATATATATATATATGTCATTTAGCAGGTGTGAGATAATAGCTCATTGTGATTTTATTTGCATTTCTTTGATGATGAGTGATGTTGAGCATCTTTTTGTGTAGCTGTTGGCCATTTGTATGTCTTCTTTTGAAAAATGTCTGTTGAGGTCCTTTGCCCTATTCAGTTTGTTTAAGTTTTTGTTGTTTTCGGTTTTTTCTTTTTTGGGGGCTTTGGGTTTTTTGTTGTTGAATTGTTTGAGGTCTTTATATATTTTGGATTTTAACCTTTTATCAGATATATATGGATTGCAGATATTTTCTCCAATTCCATAGGTTACCTTGTCACTCTGCTGATTGTTTCCTTCACTGAGCAGAAGCTTTATAGTTTGATGCAATCCCAGGTGTCAATTTTTGGTTTTGTTGCCTGTGCTTTTCGTGTCATATCCAAAAAATCATTGCCAAGACCCATGCCAAGAATCTTTTTCTCTATGTTTTCTTCCAGTTGTTTTACAGTTTCAGGTTTTGTGTTTAAGTCTTTAATTGATTTTGACTTGATTTCCATATACAGTGTGAGATAAGGATCCTATTTCATTCTTATGCTAACGGATGTCCAGTTTTCCCAACACTATTTAGTGAAGAGAGAATCCTTCGTCCACTGTGTGTTCTTGGCACCCTCGTTGAAGGTCAACCTTGTTGACCAAAGGTCTGTGGATTTATTTCTGGGCTCTCTGGTGTCCCATTGATCTACAGGTCTCCCTTTATGTCTGTGCCATACTGTTTTGATTACTGTAGCTTTGCAATGTATTTTGAGATCGGGAAATGTGATGCTTCTAGCTTTGTCCTTCTTCCTCAAGATTGCTTTGGCTGTTTGAAGTCTTTTGTGCCTCCATATGAATTTCAGGATTCTTTTTCTATTTCTGTAAAGAACGCCATTGGGATTTTGATAGGGATTGTGTTGATCTATAGATCACTTTGGGTAGTATGGACATTTTATCGCTATTAGTTATTTCAATTCACAAACATGGATCTCTTTCCATTGATCTGTGTGTTCTTAAATCTCCTTCATCAATGTTTTATAATATTCATCAATATAATTTTATAATATTCAATTTACCCAGTTGGTTAAGTTTATTTCTAAGTATTTTATTCTTTTTGTTGCTATTATGAATGGGATTAATTCATTTTTTTAAATTTTATTTTTAAGTAATCTATACACCCAATGTGGGGCTTGAACTCACAACCCCAGGATCAAGAGCTGCATGCTCTACTGAACCAGCCAGGAGCCCCAGGATTATTTTTTTAATTCCTTTCTTGAATAGGTCATTGTTAGTGTATACAAATGCAACTGATTTTTGTATGTTGATTTTATATCCTGCAACTTTATTACCTTTATTTATTAGCTATAACGATGTCTTTTGTTTGTTTAGTCTTTAGGTTTTTCTACACATTATGGTCATGTTATCATCAAATGGAGATAATCTTACTTCTTTTTTAATTTGGATACTTTAATTTCTTTTTCTTGTCTAATGGTTCTGGCTAGGACTTCCCATACTATGTTAAATACAAGTGGTGAGAGTGCCTACCTTGGCTTTGTTTCTTACCTTACAAGGTAAGCTTTCAGTTTTTTGGGTTTTTTTTTTTTTTCCCATTGAGTGTGGTGTTAGCTATGGGCTTTCCATGTTTGCCCTTTATTGTGTTGAGGTAAATTGCTTCTATACCTATTTTACTGAGAGTTTTTATCATGAATGGATGTTGAATTTTGTCAAAGACGTTTTCTATAGCTACTGAGATGATTATGTGATTTTTTTTCTTTCATTCTATTAAAATGCTACCACACATTGATTGATTTGCATATGTTGAACCATCTTTGCATGTTGGGGATAGATTCTACATGGTTACAACGTGCAATCTTTTTAAAGTGCTGTTGGATTTGCTTGCTCGTATTTTGTTAACGATTTTTACATCTATATTTATTAGGATATTGGGATGTGATCTTTTTTTCTCATCCCTTTGGCTTAAGTATCGAGGTGATCCTGCCCTCATAAAATGGATTTGGAAGTGCTCCCTCTTCTTCTATTTTTTTTTTTTTTTGGAAAAGTTTAAGAAGGATTGGAGGGGTGCCTGGATGGCATAGTCGGTTGAACATCTGACTCTTGGTTTCTGCTCAGGTCTTGATCTCAATGCCATTGGATCGAGCCCCGAGTCGGGCTCTGTGCTCAGAGGCAAATCTGCTTGGAATTCTCTTTCCCTCTCCCTCTGCCCTTCTGACTCACGGTCTCTCTCTCTCAAATCAATCAATAAATCTTATAAAAAAAAGGATTGAAATTAATTATTCTTTGAATCTTTGGTAGACATTCCAACTATGAAGCCATGTGGTCCGCTTCCACAAATTATTTTGTTTGTGTGTCTTCTCAGGTGGGGAGTGCACAGCTGCCCAAAATTTCTCCTGTTTTATCTACAACGCAAACTTCATGAACTGCAGTTGGGCAAAGGGTCAAGCTGCCCCTGATGACGTCCAATATTTTTTGTATATACGAGACTCGGGGTAGGTATCGATATCGTGTAGACAATCCTGAGAAGTACAGTGGGGAGGGGGGGAAGCCCTGATTGTCCTCTGAACAGTTTGAATTTTATAGAGGAAAAAGGGAAAGAGAGTGTCCTCATTACATAGAAGACTCGGGAACCCACGTGGGCTGTCACCTGGAAGACCTCTCAGGATTAGCGAACTACAATTATTTCCTGGTGAACGGTACCAGCCAACGGACAGGAATCCAGTTCTTTGATTCGGTTTTGTCATGGAAGAAAATCGGTAAGAGCCACGTCCTGTGGTGTCAACCGATGCTTAACAGGTGACCCGAACAGAGTTTGTGGGAAGTTTGGAAAAATGGAAGTTTATTCTCTCTCCCAGTTCTGGAGGCCAGAGACCCCGAATCAAGGTGTTGCCAATGGTTGCTTCCTTGTGGAAGGAGACCAACCCATCCTTTTACTCTGAATTAAACGGGGTGACAAGAAGTGCCTACACTGCTAATGGATCCCCACCCCCACCACCCTGAAGAAGCGAGGGCTCTTCCAACGCCCCCATAGCCTCCAAGAGCTGATCCTGGCACTGGGACAGCCCAGCCAGGCAGGGGTTTTGCCTGCAATCAGGCAGTGAAACCCCTCCAGGACAAAAGGGAAGATGTTCAGACCAGGAGATGGAGGTTAATACTGACCTGTCTGTGGACCTCCCCCATGGAGTAGCATGCACAGCCTTCTCTTGCCATTTTGGGGGATGCTGTTGGCAAACAGATGCCAAATCTCCAGTTAACCTTCACAGGCCATTGCCCACCCCCGCTCCCCACCTCCGGGCTCACCTGTTGGGGAAGCACCAGGCGTGTGTACCCAGCCAGTTGGCAGGTGTTCTACCTGTGTCTCAGGGTCTGCATTTCCTGCTCCTCGCTGCAGACAAACCTCCCATGGCCCTCCTTCCAAGGGAATCCCCGCCTTTCTTTTTCCCTCCCCATGTTTTTAACATTTTTATTTAACCCAGGAAATCCCAGTATTATTTCAAACTTCAATCCTGTGCAATTGTGACTTACAATAAGAAAGGCATGTTTGGTCTCTGCCCTTTTCTGGCACACAACTGACAAAACCCTAGGAATTTCCCGTGAGGAGAGCAGTAAAGGTGCCTTTTGTTATGTTAAGGAGGTGACAGCTGAAAAGCCCCTATGGATGGGCCTTGGTTGCCAGGGGAACTAACTGGGTGATTAAAGGATTGGAATTTTCAGTCCCCTCCTATGAACCTCAGGGACCAGAAGGTGGTTGAGTTCAATCCCCAGTGGGCAATGATTTGATCAATTGTGTTTCCATAATGAAGCCTCCCTAAAATCCCAAAAGGATGGGGTTTGGAGATCTTATATGTTGGTGGACATGTGGAAGTTTGGGGAGAGAGGTGCACCTGGTGAGGCCATGGAAGCTCCACGCCCTTCCCCCACACCTGGCCCCATACATCTCTTCCTCTGGCTGTTCCTGAGTTACAGCCTTTTAAAATAAACCCATGATCTAGTGAGTAACATGTTTCCCTGGGCTCTGTGAGTCACTGTAGCAGGTTAATGGAACCCGAGGAGGAGGTCCTGGGAACGTCTGATCTGTAGCTCGTGAGTCAGAACCACGGGTGTCAACCTGGATTTGTGATTGGCGTCTGACCCAGAGGGTGAAGGGCAGTCTTGTAGGGCTGAGCCCCCTACCCTGTGGGATCCGACGCCATGTCCAGGTAGATAGATCAGAACCGCGTTGAATTGTAGGACACCCCGCCAGTTGTCTGAGAATAGCTTGAAGGTGGGAAGGCGGGACTCCACCTGTCAGAACTGGGTGCAGAATCCTACATACACATCACAACAATGACCAAAGAAGGACCCCCGTCCTGTTGTGAGCTTGGAGATCCAGTGTGAACTTCCCAGTGACTGTGCAACACTTGGTGTGATCAGATACAGCGGATGTGAACTTACAGCCAAGTGGCCCTTGAAGGGTCTCGGGAATGGAATGAACCCACGGGGTTGAGATCAGAACGCATGCTACCTAAGTGGGATCAGACACAGAAGGCCCATCCCGATCGTTGGTGGGACCCACCGTAGGCGGTCACATTGTTGAAGGGCACTGGAGCTCCTTGGTCTTTTCCAACATGCATCCTGTCCTCCCATTGGAACTCATGCCTTGGGTGTCCCCACGGTGGCCCCGTCCCTGCCCAGTCCCCGTATTTCCCTCCTTCCCTCACTTTGGGGTCCCTGCAGCCTGCCAGACCATCCTGTGTGCACACATCCCGGTGGTCCTCGTCCCCAAGAGGCAACACTCAGACCCACTCAGACTCGGGCCTCTGGGTGACCCCTGGGAGCTGCCCGCAGAAGTGGGTCTGACCTCCGTAGTCCAGCAGAAGCCTGCTGGTTGAGGGGAGTGTCCTGGGATCTCGTTACAGAAATATATAGCCCGCCCAACAATATCAGCGTGCATTGCAACGAGTCCTACTGTGTGATCCGATGGGAAAAGCCCAAGACCCGACATAAGCTGTCCAACATGGAGTTCAAATACCAGCTGGACATCCAGAAACAGGTGAGTGGACTCTGCCCCAAGCACGACATCATGCCTCGAGGAGCAGAGGGCAGCAACCCATGTGACCTGCCATGAGGGCCCAGGTCATGGGAGATGAGCTGGGCTGGGTGATGCATGGGGAGGAACACAGGGGCGGCTGTGCTGGACAGGATGTCCTGGGCGTGAGGGTCACCACCATGGCCAATCCAACAGAGGTGTCCACACACCCAGCTGGATCCTAAAGCCTTTGGCGGTTGTTGGAGATCTCCAAGCAGATGCAGAAAAGAGAGGACCTTCTGCTACTTGTCCACTTGGACCCCACCTGGAGGGGGCAGATTGTCTGCGCCACATCCACCTGGATCCAGTGTAGACAAGGGGGACTCTCTGCTCCATGACCACATGGACTCAGTGGAGACAAGGAGGACTCTCTGCTCCACATCCACATGGACTCAGTGTAGACAAGGAGGAGCCTCTGCTCCACATCCACCTGGACCCAGTGTAAACAAGGGGGACTCTCTGCTCCATATCCACCTGGACCCAGTGTAGACAAGGGGGACTCTTTTTCCACATCCACCTGGACCCACTGTAGACAAGGGGGACTCTCTGCTCCACATCTACATGGACTCAGTATAGACAAGGGGGACTCTCTGCTCCACATCCACCTGGACCCAATGTAGACAAGGGGAACTCTGCTCCACATCCACCTGGACTCAGTGTAGACAAGGGAGACTCTCTTTCCACATCCACATGGTCTCAGTGTAGACAAGGGGCACTCTCTGCTCCACATCCACATGGCCTCAGTGTAGACAAGCGGGACTCTCTGCTGCACGACCACATGGACTCATTGTAGACAAGGAGGCCCCTCTGCTCCATGTCCACATGGACCTTTATTTGGACCCATCAGCAGCTGGGGTTCAAGGATGAAGCATGGTCAGGGTTCATCCTCCCTCGGTGAATGAGTCCATCCCCACCATCCATGTGACTTGAGGAGAAGGATGTAGAGGGGGACCTCTGCCCTTCACGTGGCCCCAACTCTTCGGGTTAACCCGTGAGCACACTCAATGAATGGATCCTGTAAAAATCTTCAAAATGGAGAAAAGCAAACTAGTTTTATTTATTATTTTTTTTAGAGCGCTAAGGAACACGGTGAGGATCAACTGGTGAGTTAAAACTCTGACCCAAACTATCACCCTGTAGTGTAACTGTACAATGTTACCCAAGTAGGCACGTGACCCCCGTGGTGGCCAAGATGGGGCGGGCAATGAGTGGGAGAGTGGTGGCTCCCAGAGGACGGTCCCATCAGTGATGTAAAGGTGCTCCCAACAGTCCCACTGTGGGAGAGGGGCTCATCTGGGCATACTTGCCCTGTCCCCTTTGTTGAAATTAGTGACCACCCGTGTTGGTCAAGAGTTTTAAGGAGATTGCATGTTGGTCAAGAAAATACTCCTTTGAGTTTTAAGGAGATTATTTCTTCCTTTAAAACACCTCTTAAAGATCATCAAAGTCCTTTATGGTGGTGTGTCCCAAGTCCCATCACCACCGTGACCTCAGTCTCCTCCTCCACCCAATGGGGGGTTTTTACTTGGTTAACGTCCTTGCTGGGACATTACCCACCGGTGGCTGTGCTCCTGTCCTGTGCACCTGCTGCATGATTTCTGCATCTATGTTGACAAGCACCCCAGGAGGGGGTCTGTCGTGAACGTGGCACACACTCACGGTGCTGATTCCCTGAAGCTTTTGGTGCACAGACGATGCATTAATCTTATACACCACATATTTGTAGACAGCACCAACGTTTCACACCGTGAGGGCCTGGTTCTGCTTCGCTAGCAAAATGGCCCCTTTCCACGGTGCTTTTTCCACGTGCTTCTGGAACCATCATCCGTCCCGCTGGTGCCACCGGAAAGACATACCCAGCCCCTCGTTTCTGAACATAGGACACCCCGCTCTCAAACTTTCTCTTTTGTCCAAAGATTGAGGTGCCTGGTAATTTGGAAAATAAGTACAGCTTCCCAAGTCCGGAGCCCAGACCCAAGCATGTTGTGAAAATAAGGACCTCAGACGCGCGGATCCAGAAGTGGGGTGACTGGAGCCAGCCCGTTGAGTTTGGTATGTGTCCTGGGAGCATCCCTAAGTTCATCTCTGAGCCCTTCCCAACCCAGTGCTGGCCCTTGTCCGTGTCCCCAACCCTGTCCCCATCCCAGGCCCTGTCACCATCCCCAGAGACGCCTAGAGGGAAGAGTTCCCCATCCACGGGTCTCCATGGGGCTCAGTACCTTCAAAGAAAGGGACAATCCACCCAGCCTCCGAAGGGGCTGCGTCAGCTGGAAATGATGAATCACTCCTGGTCCCCATCAACCCCGTTCCTGTCATGATCCCAGCCAGGGGAACACTGACATCAAAGTCGAGCGTGTTTTGGCCTAATCAAGAGGGCGCTATTCATTCCAGGGAACTCAGTTACCAACACCTTCCACCACCTTCTTCCCTGGAACCTTTATGGGTTGGCACGAATTTAATGGTTTGGACCAAAAGCCAATTGGGTACTCAAGAAATCTGCATTTCCACACTACCTCTCCCTCTCAAATATTTTCAAAGTGTTTCAGCAAGCATTTTATGCATATAATTTTATGGATTTTTTTTCCTGATCCAAAAATGGAGACTTTAATAAGGGCTGGTATAAAATGTATGTGAAATGTTTATCTAGAGGTAAAACATAAGTTCAAAGAGATGGGGTAGTGGGTTCTTAGCTATGACTCCAAAATGAGGAACAACAAAATTTAAAAAAATAGGTCAACTGGTGTTCATCAAAATTAAAAACTTCTGTATCATCTGGAATGAGCACTTTTTTAGCAAATGTATTATTATCAGTAGTAGTATTAGTATTATTTTGTAAGAGGGCACATTTCATATGTTAATATGGAAAACTCTCAAAACGCCAGACCCTCAATCTGGTTATGGTCATCCTGATGGGACTGGCTTTTTGTTGTGTTTTGTTTTTGAAGATTTTATTTATTTGACAGAGAGAGACACGGCGAGAGAGGGAACACAAGCAGGGGGAGTGGGAGAGGGAGAAGCAGGCTTCCCGCGGAGCAGGGAGCCCGATGCGGGGCTCGATCCCAGGACCCTGGGATCATGACCTGAACCGAAGGCAGACACCCAACTGACCGAGCCACCCAGGCATCCCAAGGAACTGGGTTTCTTACCTGGATTTTTAAAATTGGACTCTTTAAATAGTAACAGATAAAATGTGCCCTGTTACAGAAATAACGAGTTGTAAAAAGTGCACATTCCAGATGATAAGCAACACGGAAGATCTAATACTAGCCGTGACGTAACTTTGCTCAAACCGTATGCCTGGAAATGTGTATTTTGGGAGGGAGGGGGTCCGTTTTTGTTCATTTATTTATTTTTAAATTTTTTTTATTAATTGATTTTTTTGTCCCATTTTTTTAAATCGGGTCGTCACGTTGCCAGAGCGCGTTATGGTCTGGACGTTCATGAGGTTGCTTTGGCTCACGGAGGTTTGCGGGAAGGTTTCGGGATGGGCACTTTGCTGCGCATTTCCCTCCCGCTCCGAGCCTTTCTCGTTAGCCGTGAGCCGGCGAGGGAACGAGCAGGCCGTGCGCTGACCGTTCATCCAAAGGGGTGTGTCCCCCTCTCTCCGCAGGTTCCGAGGAAACCGCACCGAGCCTCGTGCCCATCTATGTACTGGTGGTCTTGGGGACCCTCATCACTGCCCTGGTCCTTGGCTGCCTTTTGAAAAGGTAAGCCCCGCTGGTGGGTTGACATCCTCCTTGCAGATGGGCAGCACAGACGAGGTGCTGGTTCGGATGGAGCTCAGGGAGCCCACTGGTGTGACAGTCCTCCAGGGAGGTCTAGCGGGCAGCCGACGGGGGCTTTGTCCTGATCCCTGAAGGGCAGCCCTGGATGCACATTCTGGGATGCTTCCAGGCCCCTGGGCCATGCTGAGCCTACCCGTCCGGGCCTCACATTTCAGCTGGACGCTGGACCTCCTCTGAGGGTTTGCATTCAGTCCCACTGAGCTTCCTCTTTCTGGAATGCCTCCCCCCTCAATCCGGCCCTTCATTTCCCCCTATAAGTCTTACGGAGTCCTGGAATCCTCGGGGCCCGCCAAAGCCCACTCCCTTCCCCGAGGCCTCCTGGGAGCCCAGCCCAAAGCTTCACATCCACATCTCCCTGCTTACCATCAGCCTCTCCGTGGGCGCGTCTGTAGGCAGCTACCAAGTCTTGTCAGATGTGTGATCTCAGCACCAAGCAGGGTCTCGGGGGCACCTCACAAATGCCTCTGAATGAACATGCATACGGGGAAGAATTAATTCTTTAGTAGCAAGCAGATTGCACGGCATGCTTTGCAAAGCATGGAGAGTTTTGCCACTGGCGATCTTCCTGCACCCTGTGGGGACCCAGGGGGTGTCCTCCTGTGCGCACCCCTCGATGCCCCCACCCCCCCGTCCTGGTTGGGCGTCCTGTGTGCATTTCCCTCAGGATGGACACGCGTGGCTAACTGCATGGGGATGTAGCCTAAGGACAAGGACTCTGCCCTGTCTGCTGGATGCTGCGGTGGCCGCATGGCACCACCCTGTGCTCTGGGGACCCTGGACCTGGGGGCAAAGGGAAACAGGGGCAGCCCCACAACCTGCTGCCGGAACGGGGACGGAGCGCGTGCTTTACCCAAGGACAGTTATCTTAATGAAAAGCTGTTTGAGTTTCCTGTGGCCACAGGGGAAAAAATGACCACAAACCAGATGGTTTGAAAGAACAGAAATTAATCATCTCCCAGCTCTGGAGACCAGCAGTCTGAGATCCAGGCGGGGCAGGGCCGCTGAGATCCAGGCGGGGCAGGGCCGTGCTCCCTCCAGAGGCTCCAGGGGAGGGTCCTCCCTGCCTCTTCCAGCTTCTGGGTCTCCAGGCGTCCCCGGGCTCGTGGCCACGTCCCTCCCGTCTCTTCCTCCGTCCTCACGTGGCTTCTCCTCTGTGTGTATGTTTCCTCTTCTGTGTCTTATAGGGACAACTGTCATGGGATTTAGGGCCACCGTCATCCAGGATGAGCTCATGTTAACTTGATTACAACTGCAAAGATCTGATTTCCCAACAAGGTCCTGTTTCCAGATTCTGGGGCTCAGGACTTGAATGTATATTTTGAGGGGGGACACTACCGAGCTCAGCAGAAGCACCTCCAGGTGTCACGGAACGCGGGGTGCTTTCCCTTCAGTAAGAGAGAAAGCAAACGCCCCTCTGAAAATGCAACAAGACTCCGATGTTTGGCAAAAAGGAAGTCTGCTGTTTAAGTGAAAACGCTAGAAATAGGGGACAAACCCTAAAGCCAGCACATAGACAGAAACCTGCAAGACCGGAAACTGTGCTCTTCACAGTGGGATGGATGTAGGACGGACACGTGCCTTGTGATCCGAGGGACCCTGGGCTCCCCCACGCTGCCTGTGACTGGCCACATCCCCCCGTCCTATCCCCGTACCCGAGTGACCGACTGAAGGTTCTAGAAAGATCCTATCACTATGCGGCCCTGTAGCTTCTCCTGTTGGCTCATCTGTGTCAGATTTGAGTTGCCCGGCTGTGAGCCTTCCATGAAATTTTTCCACAGCCGGCGGCCCCGTAGGCTTCTCGCACCGTGGGCAGGAGCACGTGTCCCTCCTCACCGTGAGAAGGACACATGTCCTCAGGCTCTTTCCTTCACACGCTTCCTGTCTCCCCAGGTTCCTCGCGTCACAGAGCTTCTTCCCACCGATTCCGCACATCAAAGACAAATGGAACGATGCCCATCAGCCCGACCACCAGGTGGGTAAAGGGTGGAGGGCAGAGCGGGGAACCAGGACGGGGCGGGGGCAGTGCCCCTGGGGACTCCCCTGCGTGTCCGCCCGAGGGGGACCGTGCTCTCCTTCATGGACGATGTGGCTGGGATCCCGTGTCCTGCTCGCCGGCTGACCCCGGGCATCAGGGGTTAGGGTCTTCTCTGTGAGGTGTGTCTGGGGAAACTGGGGGTGCCCTGGGGACAGAGGCAGAGGCGGGGAGAAGGGGTCTGGCCTGATCTCACGGAGGGAGAACCCGAGGGCGTCCAGAAGGACCAAAGCGGGCGAGGGCGCGGCTCCCCAGACCCCGTGCGTGCACTCGTCACCTCTGACCAGCCCTGGGGCGGGGGACACATTTCCTCCCACTGGCAGCTGCCACTCTGTCCAGGGCTGCCCCACAGGGGAGTCCCCACTGTCTGCATCATGTCCACCTGTCTCCGTCACCGCCCCCCCGCAAGCCAGACAGACATCTCGTTTCCTTGTTTTCTCAATGATCAATATCAGCAATATGATCGTATTATCACACACCCCGACCCCTCCCCAGTCCAGGGTCCCACCTAGCTCACCAGGCTTGGAGAAGCCCCATTCCCCTCCCTTATGCCCCAGGACCTTTGCACCTGCTAGCGCCTCTGTCCAGATGTCCCTTTCCCAGGCATCTCCACGGGCGGTCCTGCTGATGCCCCCGCTACAAGATCTCACTCCCGCTGGGTCCCCGGTTCCCATCTATACCCCGTGGCCCAGTACGGTCCTGCTCGCTGGGCTCCTGAAACCCCAACACCCCCATCCTCCCTCTCCTCCTCAGGTCATCTGGGAGAACTTCACCTCGGACACGGAAAAAGGTGACAACGAAGAGATCCTCACCGTGGAAGAAGTCACAGTGGCCCCAGCGAGCCTGTGAACTGCATGGACACTTCAAGCCCCAGAACATTCTGGAAGCTGTTTTTTTTTTTTTTTAATTATTATTGTTGTTGTTTTGAGCAATTATTTATATAGTGTTCTATTTTTTTACTTTAAAAGAATGTGATATTTTGCAAAGATGCTTGTGGTCGGAGGGATCGTTGAATGCCCTTGGATCCTGAACCCGAGGTGCACCTGCTTCTCCCCCAGGGAAACAAAGAATTCTCCCTTACATGATGGTGGCTCAGGTGCCCCCCTGCCAGGAGCCAGCAGGGCTGGGACGTGGGTCTCTGGCGCGTCTGCTGTTGCCGTGGGAACATTGCCTTCCCCCTGTTTCTCCACCAGCTGCAGCTCAGCCCCGTACGGGGCCCGTCTGAGGGTCTTGAATAGTTGTCTCCCCTGCAAAGTCCCGTTTGCCACCTAATGTAGCATGTTCGCAGACTCCAGGAATCGGGGTGTGGACATCTTTGGGGACATTGTTCCATCCACCACGTGGGGATCGGGACGTGGACACCGTTGGGGAGATTATTCTGTCCACCACTCAGGAATTGGGTTGCATCTACCACACAGGGATCAGGATGTAGACGTCTCTGGGGACATTATTCCGTGCACCACATGCAGATGTGTTTGGGGACATTGCTCCATCCACCATACGTGGATCGGGACTTGGACACTTTCGTCTGCAGTCATGGGCAGGGATCGGAGGGGTCTTCTCGCAATGATCCTGAAACCAACTCTGCACCTTGACCTTTGAGACACGGCCAGCCCCATGAAGGTAAGTAACGGGGAAGTGTTTAATGTGGGTCTTGTTGAGACAAGAAGCAAGTCCCATGCGGGGAGTGAACCGTGAGGAACCGCATGGTGTGCATGCAGCCGGTACCAAGTACCAAGTTTAAGAAGCCAGTGAGAGTGTCCTAGGGAAACCACGGCTCACCTAGGCATTGGATTTGTTGATGAGGATGAAGCTCATGGGGAGAGCAAAATGTATTGGGAAATATAGAGAGATACATAGAGATACAGACACGGGTCTATACATAGAGAAATATACATACAGAAGAGAGAGTAAACTGTATATGTGGACACATACACAGAAACAGACACAGAGAGACCGGCAGTTACATATTTAGACAAATAGGTACAGACATATATATACAAAAAGATACATATGAAAAGGCTACACAGACTGATCTCAAGGAAGTGGCTCTTGCGATGGTGGGGCTGGTCCGTGTGAAACCTGCACGGCAGGTGGGCAGGCTGGAGACGCAGGTGGCAGGTGACATTGCACACCTGAGGCAGAATTGCTTCTTTGGGAAACCTCGGTGTTTGCCCTTGGGACCGTCACCTGATTGGACAAGGCCCACCCCCCTGTGAAGTAGCATCTCTTCAAGTTAGCAGCTTGTGGATTTTTTCTTTCTTTCTTTCTTTCTTTCTTTTTTTTTTTGCTTGTGGATTTGTTTTTTTGTTTTTGTTTTTGTTTTTTTGTTTTTTGTTTTTTGTTTTTCTCCCACTTGCAAAACACCCCAGCTGAGTGTTTGATTGAATAACAGGGGGCTTGTCACCTATCTGTGTGAACACACAAACAGATCCTCATGGAACCATTTCAAGTGGGAATGCATTGCAATGTGCTCTGCAGTGGGTCCCCTGTGCATGTCCCAGGTGACACGCGCCAGGGCGATGGGACCCTGTTCCCTATGGTAGTGCCCCACCACCACCACCCGTGCCTTCCCAAGGGGCTCCTGTGTGATCACGTTGGTCCGCCTAGGGTGGGGGGCCCTACCCCAGGAGCTTTGCTCTGCAATTTGCTCCTGATAAAGTTTCAGGGAACAAAATTTTATGCTCAGGGCCTGCAGTGATCCCCCAGCTGCTGAACCCCACTTCATAGGTGTCGGGGGCTCCCCTCAGTCAGCTCACCAGGAAATGAAAAGAAAAAAAAAAAAAAGCATTGATTTACAGCATTTGCTGCCTCCTGTGTTGCAGACCGTCCGATGGCCTGACAGCAGCCGTGACCTCTCCTGGGTGTTCAGCGTGGGCTCCCCGGGTGTGTACTAGGTGGTTCCAGCTTGCCCCTGCCTCGAGGGTTCCGACAAGCACTTCCAGTGAGTCCTGTCCATCTGTCTGTCTGTAAGATCATGCACATGATGCAGGAAATCTGTTTCCCTTCCTTCATGTCTATGAAACACCATCACGCCTTCACACGTGGGGGTGTCCCTTCAGGCCAAGAATTGTCCGTGGAAAGTAAATGCTGCCCAGAGTCCTGAGGGACCAACCTGGCCTACAGGATGACAGATGCCAGCCCAACGGAGGCCAACAGCAGAGGACAGGACCTCCACGTGGAGGAGTATGGCTGGCCGCCCAAGGGGCCCATGCAGGAGTGTGAGGGGTAGAAGCACGGACGGCACCATCAAGGCACTTTGAAATTTTGTCCTGGAGTGGCCCAGATGGGACCAGAAGATTTTATGCACAGAAAACAAAAAACCAGGTTTCTGCGAACAAAACTATCTGCCGGCAAACAATGGATTCGGGAGAATCTACATCACATTGGGAAGTAGAGACATTTTGTATTTAGCCTTTCCACTTTCTGTTCCTGTTTTCCTTCCCCGTTCTGCCTCCCATGACGCCCTCCCCTCTAACCCTTAACTCCTATAAAAGAGTGACTTCCTGCATTTATAAGCGGTTGTGATATCAGTCTTTATCACTTTAGTATGAATTGGCAGCCACCTTCCCAGGCTCCTTGCATTTCATTGTCAGGTGTAAGGATTGATGGTTTTGTGAAGTTTAAAGGAGTCTAAACTCAGGGGGAGGGGGTGGTGGAGAGACTTCTTTTGTTCAGGAGACATTTTCGGTGTCCCTGGAATAACCCCGTAGGAAAGATCCCCTGGTGAAGTCCTCGACTGGAAGATGGGTGCAGTGTCGGGGCAGGATGAAACTCCAGGAGAAGCAGTTTCTGGTGCAGAGGGACCCTAAGACCCCACTCTACACAGGATCCTGGAAATGGCTCTCCGTCTGGGTGCTGGGAGGGTCTCACCCCAGCTCTGGGTCCCACCCAGAGGACATCCAAGAGGACTGGGGTCAGCGGACCACCTGGGTAGGAGTTCTGTCCCCCAGATGAGTCCAGGAGGAAGACCTTCAGGGGTCAGCAGGCTGTGAGGACCAGTCGCAACCTGGGGGTTAGATGGGCTCCTCCTTGGAGCCCTGTCTCCTTACAGGTGGGGGCCACGCCTGCTTCTAGGGAGAAAGCCTCCCTGAAGCGTGTGCTGCTGAGATAAACAGTCTGGGGTCACACTCGGCTTCCGTGTGCTCACATTGTCAAGAACATCAGGGGGAGGTACGCAGCAGGGTGAGCCGATGACAGATCAGGGGAACAGAGCTGGGGTGCACCCCATGTTCTTGCAGATGCATGAGAAAATGCCCTGTATATGAGAGCAAGCTCTCTGCCTGTGGTGGGAGGAGATCTCCTCCAGGAAACATGAGAACTGAGCATGCCCTGGGGGATCACAGGAGGCCAGGGAGGCAAGTGGGGGTGCTTTCCCTTGCACAGACAGGGGGAGAGGGGCCCGGAAAGCAGGGCAAGTGTTGGCCATGGTATAAGGGAGACGGGGATCCTGTGGGAGATAATCTGAGTCTAGATATGCAGGCAGGGCAGCTGGGGTTTGGGCGGGGGTGTTTGGACAAGTTTCCAGGGTGCTCATAACAAAGCAGCACAAACCAGGGGGTGGGAGGGTTCAAAACATCCCACATACATCCTGCCCAGCTCTGGAGACCAGAAGGCTGAGATCCAGGCAGGGCTGCTGGTCAGGATCCAGGTGGCTCAAGACCGTGCTCCCTAGGTAGACTCCAGGGAGGGTCCTTCCTGTCTCTTCCAGCTTCTGGGGCTCCAGGCGTCCCTGGGTTTATGGCCACGTCCCTCCTGTCTCTGCCTCCATCTTTATGTGGCTTCTCGTCTGTGTCTGTGTCTCCTCTTCTGTCTCTTAGAAGGACACCTGTCCTTGGATTTAGGGCCACCCTCATCCAGGATGAGCTCATCTCAGCTCCTTCACTTGATCACATCGCAAAGACCTTATTCCCAAATAAGGTCCCCTTCCCAGGTACAAGGAGCTAGAACACGGGCATATATTTTGTGGGGGAGAAAATCCCACCCACTACAACCTTGTAATGAGGACTCCCTTCCCCACCAGGTGAGCCCCCAATGCCCCAATCTGTCCCCAACTGCACCTGTACCCCTTGTCCCCATGCACGTCCTCCAGATGAAGGGTGCCACTGTATTCATAGTTTTCATAGATGGCGAGATGGGGAGACGGGGGACCAGGAAAGCTGCGTGGGGAGCGAGTCTGGGGGCCTCTCCTGTCCCTTCCGATTCAGAGGCTGGGAGTTCAGAAATAAAAAATTTGAAACCTGGGACCCGTTGCTTTTAACACCAATGGGTGAGGACAGGGAAACCTTTCTACGTGATGTCCCCGAGGGTGTGTGACATAATGGGATCTGTCCCCAGTGCATCGTAGCCAAGAATGCACCTCTCAGCTTGTAACAGTGTATCAACATCACTTGTGACAAATGTAACAAATGTACCGCCCAGAACAAGAAGTTCATAATCGGGGAAGTGCAAGAGGTGGTTGGGAAGGTCATGGGAACCCTGCATTTTCTGCTCAGTATTTCTAGGAAACTGAAACTGCTTAAAAAAAAAAAAAGAAATCTAATAATAATATTAACAATAAAAGTCCCAGAAGGGAGAAGCTAGGTGAAAAGCAGAAAATAAAGTGTCTCATGGTCGTTTGAAGCAAAAAAGTTGTCTCGGAAGATTCTGTCTTTTAGGTTTGGACGCACGGGATGTAGGACAGGAGAGGAAGCTCAGAAAGTGTCATTTTTGGGTGGATCTCAGTGCAAATCGAGTCACTTCCAGCATGCATGGACACGTTCCCAGCTCTTGTGTCTCTGTCTCTCCGTGGAGACCCCGGCAGGCAGCGGGAGATTCTAGAATCCCACCCACCGCTTGCTGCCAGCAGA